TATATATATATATAGATGTATAAATGACAGATGTACTGGAATAAGTGTGAAATGATTAGTGACATCTGCATATTATTGTCTTCCAGTACCTGTCTGCGGAGACACTGAGAAGTCTTCCTCCCAGGTGACTTCTGGGTCTTCACCATGTTGCCAAGACTGGCCTGCAGAACCGCACGTTCACTACCAGCATACACCTGTAACCACGCAACAATGCATGAGACATGCACTGCAATGAATTAATTATTTTATACAAAATATCTACGCAGAAAACGACTTACACCAGATTATTTTTATCTAAACATTGTTTTCATACGGGGAAAAAGCATTGGACATGTCACTTCATGCATGCGGCTTCATAACAGTAGAATAAATGTGTGTGTGTATGGAAAGATCACATGCGTGGTTAACATCCTCAAGAGCTTTCTGAGAAGCTGACAAATAAATACATTAAAGCAAGTATTAAAAGAAATAAAACACAAAACAAATCTTATTATTGCATTTTGACTTTCTCTTTAAATGTTCTATATTTAAAAACAGTCTTATCTATTTGTGAAGACAGCTTACAAGAGAAGTTAAAACATCTTTTATTAGATCTAAACCTACTTGGGTGAAACAGAGAGAAACATATTCTGTATGCAGTTAGGACCAGCTTTAATTGACGAATCAGAAAGTCCTGCCAGAAATTATATAATTATGGTAAATGGATTGTACTTGCCATATATATATATATATATATATATATATATATATATATATATATATCACCTTTCTATCTTATCAAGATACTCAGAGTGCTTTACAACACAATATGTGCCCTTATTTCATACAGCACTCTACTAGATCTATACAAAGACTAATCAGTGCTAGATCACATTCATACACTGATGGGACACATCAGAGGCAATGAGGGGTTCAGTGTCCTGCCCAGGGACGATTCAGCATGACAGCAGGTGGAATCGAACCCCCAACTCTCCCAATGGAGGGCGACTGCTCTAACCACTCAGCCATAGCTGCCCCTGTTATACACTTTTTAGCAATATTCCCAAAATTGATTGTACACACTAAAAACTGCTGGGTTATTTCAGTAGCTCAAATGCTGGGTTTAAACTGTGTCATAAATGGGGATGTGTTGAGTCAGTGGTTTGGTTAAAAATGAGCTGTGTCATTTTTACAGACCAACACTTTAAACAAGAAGTTGGGCAAATCAGACGTGACTGGCCCTCAGCTGGGTTATATACTAATAGTGTGACTGTTTATGAAGCATTCACACTATTGTGATCCATTTTTCTTCCATATGTTTTTTGGCATCTTTCTCGTTCCACAATTTTTGTGCCGTTTCAACAAATCCTATCAAAATATTTAGTTCGTTAGAGAAGGGTGCTATGACTTATGGTATTGGTGCAACTTTGGCTTTCTAAAATATTTAGCCCTTTCTGCCACTTTTTCCTCACAGAAAATGAATTGAGCTCATTTTACATCCTTCAAATCTTTAGATATATTTACAACCTTTTACTGCTCCTTTCACATTTTTTCTGGTTCAGCTTCTTTGTGCAAATTTAAACTTTTTTCAGCTACTTTCAGCAGGGGGGGGGGGGGGGGTAGCGCTTTTTTGTTCCTTTCAGATTATTTCTGCTAATTTCAGCTTGTTATGCTCTTTTCAGCTTATTTCTGCACGTTTCAGCTTTTTCTGCTACTATTAATTATTGTGGGGAGTGGTGGCGCAGAGGTTAGAAGATGGGCTGGTGATCAGAAAGTCGCAGGTTCACCTCCCGGTACCGTCAACATCAAAATGTGGGTGGAAAAGGTTAAACACACACACACCTCCCTCCACCCTCATTCGTCCCACTCTGGGCCCCTGAGCAAGGCCCTTAACCCCCACCATCTGCTCCCTAAACAGGTCTCTCTTGAAAATGAGTTCACGTGGCTCAATGAGACTACCTGTATAAATAAATAAAAAAAAAATTTTATTTTTTTTTAATTTAGCTGTTTTACGCTAATTTTAGCTTTTTCAGCTAATTCCACTTTTTTTAAGCTAATGTCAGCTCCTTCCACTTCCTTCTGGTAGTTTAAGCTTCTTTCTGCCGTTTCAGCTACTTTTCTGCCTTTTGCTAGTTTAAATTTTTTTAAGATAATTTTCTATTTTTTGTGTAAATTTCTGCTTATTTAAACATAATTCAGCAAACGTGTGTTCTTTACGGGGATTGTTCTGCTAACTTGGGCTCGTTCTTCCATTTCAGCTACATTTCAGCATGTTTTTAGCTAATTCCAGCTGGTTTTCAGCAAGTTCTTCAGCAATATGCATTAAATTTTTGCAGGAAATGCAATTTCTCTAGTTTTTGTGTATTGTTGGTTGTTTTAAACTCGGCGGTTATTAGTGTGTATAATGTAATAATGGGCACTTGAATCAAAACAGACTGCTCTACACATAAAAAACAGGAGCTTGTGTTGGACAGCAGTTATATATACTGTACAGTGTCTTCCAGAAGTGGTGATACAGGTAGACAGGACATTAAATGAAATGAAATTAAATATTTATGAAAGTGGAAATCTGGGGATGAGCTTGAGTGACGGTACAAACAACATGTTGCTGACCTCTAGTGGTCATATTTTGTAGTTAACTGTTTGATCCAGATGCACTACATGAGGCCCCTACTCTTTCTTTCTGGACAAAACAATGTGCTTCAAATAACTCCATCAAGAGCTTTAACCACAATAATAGATGATGTATTTTGTCCAGTAAGCACAAATAAAATGCTTTGAATCCTCTCTAGGTGGATGCTTTCTTCAAGCAGCTTGGGTGCAACTTGCTTCAGGTGCTTCATACTTAGCAAACTGGAATTAGACAGTACAAGGGAAGGCACTAGTCTTAAACAAGCCTGTTGCAAAATGCTACACATTATGTGTTATCTGTCATCCATCTACTGCACAAACAGGGAATGACATTAGATGTAGTTCCACTGAATCTCCAGCAGAGGGCAATAAATCACGCAGGTAAACTGAAAAAAGTTTTGCAGTCTTTTAAGACATGTTCAAAAAAAATAAAAAGGAGCCCTGAACAGCAGGAGGCTGTAGTGGTGTTACTACAAAAACAGCATGTAGTAATGTTTGCCAAACAATCGGATCCAACTGTGCAGCTACAGAAGTAAGAAAGAGACGGCTAAAGGCAGAAAGAAGTCTGCCTTTTTCTAAGAATGACAAAAAATACAATCAGAAATCTATGTGTTGTGTTAAAGACAAAGGTCAGACTGGTCTTGTGGTGACGTCTGTAACAAGAAATTAAATCAGAGACTTGGTAACAGCTGTGTAAAGGATGTCTTTATCACACACAGCCATGACTCATTGTCATTTAACAGCTTTTTATAGGGTAAAATCCACCCTGAGAGCACAGCGGAGCCACTTGAAGGTTGTGAAAATGCATAATATTTGAATTTTTTGAATCACTGCATGTACTGGTATATATGAAACAAACGCTGAGTTCCAGTCTGAAACCATGTGCTGACTAAATCGGTGGCTTCCAACCAAACAAGGGTCATGAAACACCAAGCATGAGATCTTGTGGAGGTCCAGGTGAGTCAAATTGTCTTAAAAAATGATTGTAAGTAGCATATTTAGGCTTAACTGGTAAATTAATTACCTTCAAACGGCAAATAAGTTCTGATTTCCCACTTTTAGCAGTGATTTTAACGCAGCTGAGCACTTTGCGACAGCTTGGCAGCAAAGGCTACTTGAACTGTCGGAGCTCCTGCTGAAGGGCTGGAGTGGAGCGTCAAATGAAGAACAGACAAGAAAATGTCAGAAGCAGAGTGGAGCATCAGTACAACACAAATGATGGTTGCTGTTTGCTGGTGTCGTGTTTCAGGAGTTCAGCGGCATATAGACGGTGCAGGCGTGGCTAAACATCAAAACGAATGAAATAACAGATGCTAAAAGTGATCTGAATTATTTAAGAGCAAAGTTTTGGCTTTTAAAATGCGCTATTTTCTAAAAGAACAGACTTAAATTAATTTTAATGGGGGGAAAAAGTGCACTAATAAATTATCCCCTCACCCAAATTCTTTTAATGATCATTCAGGGTGATTAAACGTGATGTTTATGGGAAACTAATAAATTGGAGAGTGAATATTGGACAGATAACTGAGGGTAAACACACAGAACATACTTAAATCAAGACAAACATTTGTTTTGACTTGATTTAATCCTTTAGGTCAATAATTTTTAACTTTGTATGAACTTTTGCTTCTTTGACTTCTCACTCCACAGAAATTAAAGTCCTAGCGTCAGTATAATAATAAACAGATTTATTGCGGGATCCCAAATCTACTTTAAATGTACAACAGTGTTCAGAAGGTGACAAACAAAAACCACAAGCAGCTAAATACTTCAGCTATTTCTTATAAACCTGACAGGCAGATGAAAATGACCTAAGAATACCATCAGATCAACATGGGACACTTACAAAAATAACTTATTTAAGGGGTAAGATGAACCTCAAAGGGTTAAAACAAGCAGGTTTAGCCACACACTAACACTCATAACACTGGGGACTCTCCCGCTTCCATGGCAACAGACGAACGTGGTTATTGAGAGTCCTGCTATGATTCAGGTAACGAAAGTAAAAGTGTCCTGAACTAAAACTAAGACATTCAACAACACGAGCCCAAGGTCCTAATCTAAACTTCATGTAAGACTTCCATCTGCATTTCAGATTGTGCTCAATTTCTGCTTTTTGAGCTCAGATAAAATCAACCTCTTATGAATTGAACAAACGGGTGCTGAATATGAGAGGATGAGTGCGCTCTAAAAATAAAGAAACATGTTTTTCGAACGCTGTCGCTCAATTGTTAAAATTTAATAAAAAGCAGAACGCTACCTAAAAGCCCAAAATGGCATGAAACTAGTGTGTTTCTTTAGTCTAACAAAGTTAAGTCAGGTCCTCTGGACGGATTTATCTTTGTTGAAATGTTTTGTCTTTTAACCAAAAGACTTCTTCAGTCTGGAACCCTGCAAGAAACTTATAAAAAGCACCTTGTTATAGTGGAACAACCAGTTTGCTGCTGACAGCCAGAACTAGTTGTTCATAGGCTTGTCACAATAAACAATAAATCACATGATAAATTAAAATGATCAACCTCATTTTCATTTATCGGCTTTATCGTATCTTTGTGTCTTGAACCCCGTGCTCTTGTGTAAAAAG